ATGGGCAGATTCTACAACAAGATTGAGACCCTGAGTCATAAAGATAAAATTTAGTAGCTTTCTAATTCTCAGGATGATCCTGGCACCTACCTTTAAGAGCTAATGGTCATATTTTAAAAATAATATGTAAGCAGGAAAAAATAAAACCCTGAAGATCCCTATATGGCAAGGTTGTGTGGACTTAAGACAATGAGAAGAAAGAAAAAAGAGAACAAAATGGCATTAATATTAAATAGAATTCATTTAACAGCAAATGACAAAATCCCAACTCAAACTGGCTCACAAACTAAACAGGGGGTTAAAATATATTGGTTCACATAACTGCAGAGTAATGGCTAGGTCTGGTGCCCAAATAATACCATTATCAATCTAGCTACCCTGGTCTCTTATACTTGTGTTGCATGATATGAGTTTTTTACCCTCAGCAGGGCTCTCATCTCTGGATAGGCAGATGCCATGAGCAGTTACCAGTTTAGCAACCTCATTTTTTTATACTTATTTTATTGATTATGCTACTACAGTTGTCCCATTTTTTTCTCTCCTTTATTCCCCTCTGCCCTGCAGCCGCCCCCCCCCCACCACCATCAGCATCCCCCCCATAGTTCATGTCCATGGGTCTTACATATAATTTCCTTGGCTTCTCCATTTCCTATACTATTCTTAATCTCCCCCTCTGTCTATTTTGTACCTACTATTTATGCTTCTTATTCCTCATATCTTTTCCTCCATTCTCCCCACTCCAACTCCCCTCTGATCTCCATTTCTGTGATTCTGTTCCTGTTCTAGTTGTTTGCTTAGTTTGTTTGTTTGTTTGTTTGTTTGTTTTTAGGTTCAGTTTTTGATTGTTGTGAGTTTGATGTCATTTTACTGTTCATAGTTTTTGATCCTCTTTTTCTTAGATAAGTCCCTTTAACGATTCATATAAGGGCTTGGTGATGATGAACTCCTTTAACTTGACCTTATCTGGGAAGCACTTTATCTACCCTTCCATACTAAGTGATAGTTTTGCTGGATAGAGTAACCTTGGATGTAGATCCTTGCCTTTCATGACTTTGAATACTTCTTTCCAGCCCCTTCTTGCCTGCAAATTTTCTTTTGAGAAATCATCTGATAGTCTTATGGGCACTCCTTTGCAGGTAACTGTCTCCTTTTCTCTTGCTGCTTTTAAGATTCTCTCTTACCCAAAGCAATTTATAGATTCAATGCAATCCCTATTAAGATACCAATGATGTATTTCACAGAAATAGAACAGACATTTCAAAAATTTATATGGAACCATAAACAACCCCGAATAGCCGCAACAATTTTGAGAAAGAAAAACAAAGGAGGAGGGATCACAATACCGGACATCAACCTCTACTACAAAGCCACCATACTGAAAACAATCTGGTACTGGCACAAGAACAGACCCATAGACCAGTGGAACAGAATAGAAAGCCTAGAAATAAGCCCAGGTCTCTATGGACATCTAATATTTGACAAAGGGGGCAGAAGCATAAAATGGGGCAATAACAGCCTCTTCAACAAATGGTGTTGGGAGAGCTGGACGGCTACATGCAAAAAATTGAAATTGGATCATCAGCTGACACCATACACAAAAATAAACTCAAGATGGATAAAAGACTTAAATATAAGTCACAACACCATCAAAGTCTTCGAGGAGAACATTGGCAGGAAACTCTCAGATATCCCACGCAGCAATTTTTTCACTGATATGTCTCCTAAAGCAAGGGACATAAAGGAAAGAATAAGCAAGCAGGACCTCATAAAAATAAGAAGCTTCTGCATGGCTAAAGAAAATATCAGCAAAATGAAAAGGGAGCCAACCGTATGGGAAAATATATTTGCTAATGATACATCAGATAGAGGTTTGATCTCCAAGATATATAAAGAACTCACTCGACTCTACTCCAAGAAGACAAACGATCCAATCAAAAAATGGGCAAAGGACCTGGGCAGATGCTTTTCTAAGGAGGAGATACAGAGGGCCCAGAGGCATTTGAAAGGATGCTCTGCATCACTAGCCATCAGAGAAATGCAGATCAAAACCACCATGAGGTACCACCTCACACCGGTCAGAATGGCCATCATAAACAGATCCAGAAACAACAGGTGCTGGCGAGGCTGTGGAGAAAAGGGAACCCTAGTCCACTGCTGGTGGGAATGCAGACTGGTGCAGCCACTATGGAAAGCAGTGTGGAATTTCCTCAGAAAGCTGAAAATGGAACTGCCTCTTGATCCAGCGATTCCCCTGCTGGGACTATACCCTGAGAACACCAAAACGCCAATACAAAAGAACCTATGCACTCCAATGTTCATAGCAGCACAATTTACAATAGCCAAGTGTTGGAAGCAACCTAAATGCCCATCAGTAGATGATTGGATCAAAAAGTGATGGTACATATACACAATGGAATACTACGCAGCAGAAAGAAAAAAGAAGTACTAAACTTTGCGACAGCATGGATGGAACTGGAGAGCATCATGCTAAGCGAAATAAGCCAGGGGGCGAAAGACAAATACCATATGATCTCACCTATAAGCGGAACCTAACCAACAATGCAAAGATGCAAGGAAAATATGACCAGCAACACTGAAAGGAAAAGAAATCAACAGAGACAAGAGGGAAGGGGGGGGCAGGGAAAGGGAAGGGAAGGGGAAAGTCAAGGAACATATAGCAAGGACTCATGGACAAAACCAAAGGGGAAGAGCTGAGGGAGGGAAGGTGGGAGGGGGCAAGGGAAAGAGGTGGGGGGGAGGCAGAGACAAATGTATTTAAAAAGTAAATAAATTAATTAAAAAAAATAAATAAAACTTTCTCTTAACTGGGGGGGGGGGGGGGGGGGGGGGGGGGGGGCAAAAAATAAATAAATAAATAAATAAATAAATAAATTTAAAAAAAAAAAGATTCTCTCTTTATCTTTAGTCTTGAGTAATTTAATTATGATGTGCCTTGGTGTGCACTTCCTTGGGTCCAACTTCTTTGGGACTCTCTGAACTCCTGGATCTCCTGGAAGTCCATTTCCTTGGCCAAATTGGGGAAGTTCTCCTTCATTATTTTTTGAAATAAGTCTTCAATTTCTTGCTCTTCCTCTTCTCATTCTGGCACCCCTATGATTCGGATGTTGGAACGCTTAAAGTTGTCCCAGATGTTCCTAAGCTTCTCCTCATTTTTCTTTTTTTTTTTGAATACTTGTTTCTTCATTCTGTTCTGGTTGAATGTTAATCTCTTCCTTCTGCTCCAAAGCATTGATCTGAGTCCAGTTTCCTTCCCTTTACTGTTGGTTCCCCATATATTTTTCTCTATTTCACTTTCCATAGCCTTCACTTTTTCCTCCATTTTGTGACCATACTCAACCATTTCTATGAGCATCCTGATTACCAGTGTTTTGAACTGTGCATCTGATAGGTTGGCTATCTCTTCATGCTTAGTTACATTTCTGGAGTTTTGATCTGTTCTTTTATTTGGGCCATATTCCTTTGTCTCAGCACACCTGTTACTGGTGGGAGGGGCGGAGCCATAGATATTCTCCAGAGCAGGGCAACACAGGTCTCTATGTTATGATGCTGTGTGTGGGGGAGGGGCTCAAGGGGGAACAATGCCACTTGCTCGGCTCTTGACCAGCCTTCAGTCACATCCCCTGCTACCCATGAGCAAATTGGGCCCTTCTGGTGCTGATTCCTGGCTGGGTGGGTTTGTGTACATTCTAGGACTCTGTGGGTCTCTCCAACTATCTCTGCTGTAAGATAGAGTTTCTCCCAGTACCGTATCCCCACAGGTTTTACAGCCAGAGGTTCTGAGGCTTTCTTTTCCCCACACCGGACCCCTGGGTTGCATGGTCTGTCTTGCTCCGTCTTGCTCCCCAGCTGCTCTTCCTGGTTTACCTACACACAAATATGGGACCCCCAGGTCCACCAGCCACCACCTTGCCACATGTCCTCTCTTCCCAGCTGCCCGTCTCCACCCCTCCTACCAGTGTGGATGAATGTTTCTTCTTTAGTTCCTTGGTTGTTCGACTTCCATACAGTTTGATTTTCTAGCAGTTCTGCTTATTTTTTGTTTTTAAATGTGTTATTATACTTCTTTTGGTTATGCAAGGAGGCAGAGTTTATCTACCTATGTCTCCATCTTGGCCAGAAGTTCAGTAGCAATCCCATTAAAAAAAAAAAAAAAAGCCAGTTACTCTGGCTTGGCCTGCACTAATCACTGTGATTGACACCAAGAGTCAAGGTCTGCCCCTTCTTTCAGCATGGGCTGAGAGTGGTGGAGGGGTGGGTCTACAAGGGAAACTGAGTCTATGGCTACTTTAAAAAGGGGAAACGGACTTAGGAAGGCAGAACCACAAAACAACAGATTCAAATCACTTTCCCCTGTGGAGAATGCCTCCCCAGCAGGTGAGAGGAGCATTTTTCCTGAGTGCAGCTGCTCAGGCACTCACCCTGGGGCCTCCAAGCCATATTTTAAGCCAGAGAGTTGTGCATCATCACAGCTCCCCACTGTGATTTTCTTTCCAAATTACCACAAGGGCACTTCTGGAGGACAGTGTCCTCAGTGGAGGAAGGTAGTCACCAGGCTTGAAATTCTCTGAGTTTTAAGCCCAAGATGGTTTTTCTCCAACAGATATTTGAAGCACTTTATTGAGGCAATGCCACGCGTATTTAATGAAGCCCTGAAAGGGCACCTAGTGTGAAATAGAGGATGAGATAAATCAAAAATAAACATAGATGGCTTAAAATAGAATTCATGGCTTCAGACAAACTATAAAGCTGTTAATCTGCTTCCAATGCAAAGTACATAGCTACAAATACTTAAAAGTTAAATAACACACAAGGAGAAAGGGAGAAGAAAAGTTCCACTTAAAGGGAGGAAAAAATTCCACTTATTAGACAAGATGTAATTGTAATGTTATTTACCTGTGTGTGCATACATGCATGTATGTATATGTGCATAATAGATCAATTGTTTTCTGATTGGATTAACAATTCCTTTGGTTTCTGAGTGACAGTGAAAACTGGTTTTGTGCATGTCCAAGGCCGTACTCAGGCAGGCTGTGCCAGTTTGCAACTTGTGAAAATGACGCATGTAGAGATGGTGCCACGTGTGTTCCTAAATCCGGGACAGACATTGTCTGCCTCTGCCCGTATGGGAGGCTTGGACTCCTCTGCACTGACGGTGAGAACATTTGATCAGTAAGCATGGGGCCCAGGCAGAAGGAGGGGGAGAGGACAGACTCACCCAGAGCAATCAAGGACGGCACCTGACAAAATATGTCAAATCATTTTCTTGGTTCTTTTCAAGTCAGTCAAGACAAGATGCATTACCCAGAGAGTATTAAGCTAAGTGAAGTAAGTCAATGAAAGACAAATACCGTATGGCTTCATTTATATGTGGAATCAACAAACAAACAAAATAGAAACAGACTCATAGGTACAGAGAACAGACTGATGATTGCCAGAAGGGAGGAGGTTGGGGGACTGGGTGAAAAAGGTGATGGGGTAAAGGCACAGCTGGTAGTTACAGGCGAGTCATGGGAATGTGAAGTACAGATACGGAATATAGTCAATGACATTGTGGTAACTATGTGCGGTTCCAGGCGGGTGACTCGAATAATGGGGAGCACTTTGTGGGACATATGATTGTCTGACCACCAAGCCATGCACCAGAAACTGGTACGAAATAGTAATGAATGTAAACTGTAATTGAAAAAAATTAAAAATAAAAAGACAAGATCCACTAATGAAAGAGATCCCTGAGCAGGTATTTCTCATACCCATCAAGTAATTATGAAGAAGGTAATGAGTTTACCCTGAGGTTTGACTACAGAAAATCTCTGTATTGTAAAATCACAAAGTCATTCTGATGCTCAAAGCATAACAAGGAAAATCAGGTGCAAGATGTAAAATCATTTTGGCAAACTGGGGATATAATTAACAAATGTGTATATTATAGACCAGTCGTTTTTGTTTAAAGGTAACAAAGCCTATGATAGCTATTATACACCAAGAATCTAAATCACAAGTAATAGCCATGTGCATCTCCTCAGGAAAATCCAGTGTGTGGAAACCCTAAATTACAAAAAGATACAAGATGCTATAATGTAAGATTGCTTTAAAAAGCAAGTTGCCCAAGAGTGCAGTGTCCGCTTTGATATACAGAGACAAATATGCCTAACTATTTTCAGAAATAACAAAAAGTAATTGATATTAATATTTAATCAATTCAGGACTGGACTTGTCTCATCTTTATTTTTACTATAAGGATAAAGAAAAAAAATTACCCCTTAAGTACTAGTGTTATTTTGGCACTAGTGGTATTTACTACCAAATTGTAAAATAAGGCTACCAAAGTGAACACAGGGCCCTGGGCCCCCAGCTCACCAGCAAACAGATCTGCCTTTGCTGCCTCAGAAAGCTGGGGGACCACACCCTGATGTAACAGGTGTGAAAACTGAAAATAAAATAAAGAGGTATCTGGGACTAAAAGGCATTGAAGTTTTTGATGTGTATGTCTTTGAAGGGAATTGAAACAATGGATTTATGTGTAACTAGAAGGGAAGTTACGAATTACTAGAAATTTTGTTCTGTGTGTAGCAGAGTTACAGTAGAAGTTGTTAGCCAAGTAATTTTTATAAGAAAAAAAAATCCTAGACTAGATGAATATGAAGTCTTTATTTCCTATAAAAACCGCATGTTTCTCAGACATAATTATCCTATTTAGATAAAAGCTATTGAAAATGCAAGTAATCACAATAAATTTGGTTGCTAAGGAATGAGTCATTAATTTTGCTTCCTACTTAAAAAATAGTACTACCATAGGAGGTAAGAAATAAAGATTTATAAGAGTGTTTTCACATATTTACAAAAAAAAATGATTGTTGACTCTCATCTCTTGATCTCATTAGGGCTCCCAAGATGCAGAGATTTATAAGTTATTAATACAGGTAATATTAGACGATGCTTATTAGGCTCTTGCCTCACTGTAACTAAGAAGAAATTCCTACATGCACCCATCCAGAGGAATTTCTCAAAGTAATTGGCCTAGCCATGAACATATTGCACAAATGTGCCAGGCCCATTTGAGATCCCTACCCTCATAGATTTGCCTTCTCACTGAGAAGATAAAAAGAAAATAAAAATGGCTCAAGACACAATATATATTTATGAAAAGAATTATGAGGGAAATAAACAGGAAGCAATAGAGTAACCAGGGTGGAGTCATTATCCTAGACAAGTGCTCACCATAAGAATGACTCCAGAAGAGGAGATATTTGTACCAAGATCTAAGAAAAAGGAGTTCACAGTATGAAAAGCAGAAGAAAAACAAATACTCAAGCAGAAGGTTCTGAAAATGGAAGACTCTGAAGAGAGATAGAGCCTAGGCTTTTGGAAGAATAAAAAAAATACTACAATAGCTGGAGCCTAAGTGAACAAGAGAGAATATTATATCTGACATAAGCAGGACCTAGATCATATAGGGCCTTGGGAGCATGGGAAGGTTCTAGACTTATTTCTAGGTCCCTTCAAAAATCATTGGAATGTTTTAAAGAGGCAAGTAGTGTGTATGTGTTTATTTAAACCATTTTAACTGCAGTATAGAGATTGACTTTAGAAGGCTTTTGTCAGGGCTCCTGACAAAACATAATTTTCTTAAGACAAGGGTGATGGCAGTGGAGATAGAAATAAGTGGATGAACTTGAGATCAGTTCTATTGGAGATAGAATTGACAGAACTTGCTGGGAAATATGTGAAAAGGGCTGAATCAAGAACATCCAGATTTCTTTATTTGATTTGATTGAATTACCAGTAGAAGGTGGTGGTGCCACAAGGAACATTAGAGGCTTAACAGGATTTTTATCGGGAAGTAAACAAGAGTTTTATTTTGTACAGGTGATGGAAAAGATGCCTGTTAGATATCTAAATGAGAATGATGTGTAGGAAACTGAATAAATAATGTTGGTACTCAGGGAAAAGGCCAGGACTAAAAATACAATTAAGGGAGTCATCAAAATAGAGATGATGGTTAATAGTCTTAGAGGAAATTGTAGATAAAGATGAGAAGAGGACTAACGACTAAGTCCCCCAGGATTCCAATATTTAGGGATCTGGTAGAGGAAAGAAAGAAATGTTAAAAGGCAATACTATCCCCTCACAAATACCACCTCTTATCTTTCATCTCATAAATATTGCTCCTTTCATGAGGGGGCATTGTCTTAGCCTGGATTCCCCAAAGAGTGGAACCTAAATATGAATAAAGAATTGTATTCAAGTGGTTTTGATTTTTTTAAAATCATCCCAGGAAACAGGAGTGGAGTGAAAAATAAAAAGAATAAAACGGGAGAGGGGGAAGTCAGTATAGGGGCCTATCCTGGAGTAGAACATCACCATGGGCAACCGGGCTTGATTATACTGGGATCTTATGAAGAGTTATCTAAAATGAGTTTCAGGATTTTCTGATCTTATAAGGAAATGTGTAGAATGGGTCTGAGAATTGTCTGCCCAAGGGACAAAAGAGAAACACACTTAACCACTGACTCGTGGTTCCTTTAGAATGAGAGTTGCCCCACAGGACGTTAATTTCCCCACATTCCAAATTGCCATACAAGACTGGTGAGAGTGTGAGCTCTTGCAAGCATCTCAGGCAAGAGCTTCGGAGAAGCTGGAGGTCAACGAAGGAGAGGTTATCATATCAATACTCCATAACAATCACAAAAGTGCCCACTCAGTGACTGCCCCCTCCAGGAGCCATCTTTGCATCAAGCAGATACCAAAGCGTCCTTTATTCCAACAATTAGTATGAAGTGGTGGTGCCAATGTCACTTCTTGGACCATTCACTGTCACAAATCTAACCTCCAGGAGATTGTCCAGAACAGGCTGAATATATGTTTGTTCAAGAAAGAAAAACATAGAGCAACTAATAACCATGGCTGTTGCCCAATTACAGCTGTACTCTAGAACCGGCAGAGAATAACATCTGAGAATCTCTTTTTCATCTCTGCATTTTTGTTCATACCGGAAGAAGAAAAATCAACTTGTTTTATTTCATCAGCACTTATGTTTGTTATATAGTACTTTTCTTTTTAAATTATAGCCATATCTACTGTAATAATATATTCTTTAGGGGATAATAAAAAATATCATTATGACATTTCCTACCTTGTTGGTATTTTCACTGGGGAATTCATTCTGGGGAGATTTTGGCAGTAGAGACTGGGGCTGAGACGAACAAGCACCACAAGCAGAAAACTTCCAGCTGCCTTCCTTTGCAAAGTGCTTTACTCTCTACATTTGTGCTCTTTATTCACACTTCCTCTTGCCTAGTCTTATGCAAGCATAATCTCTTCTTGTTTTCTTAACCACAACATTCTAAAGACAAAAAGGGGAGGCAGAGGATGCTTTCTCCTATCTCTTGTCCTCTGTGTCCCTTCTATAAATATTTCTTGATTAATTTACGTTACCTCCCAACCTAGGTGTCTCAGTGGAACTCACCCTTTGAAGAAAAAGGTGTAACGCACTCATGGGGAACCTAGGCCTTGGAAATAGTCCGGCTGTGTTAAAATCTGCATTCTGCTGCTGACTTGCCAGGGGAGTAATCTTAGGCAACTCACTCAGTCCCCTGTACTTCAACTTCAGTGAGTCTAGTAGTACAACCTACCTTATAGATTTCAGGAGAATTAAATGAGATAATTCATGTAGCATGCTTAGCACATTGCTGGCCACATAGAAAGTGCTTTTGCTTTTTAAGGGTGGTCAAGCAGTTTTCACGTATTCACAGGGCACTAACTGCCATACCTTATCATTGTGGGAAAGAAGGCTGGTTTTCCATCCAGCTTAAAAAAAAAACAAAAACAAAAAGAACCTCTCTAAGACGTCAAAAGAAATCAAAATTAATTTCCTTTTCAGATTTTTTTCCAAACAGGTGACACTCTGCAGTGATTAGGGACAGGCCAGAGTATTAGAAAATCAGGGAAGAAACCAGGGACACAGATAATCACCAGGCTATTTAAGGACATGATACCTCTATAAAGCAGCTTAATGTCAGGCTGGCATTTTGTAAAAGCATATTTCAAATACATGTAATTTTCCGTCATGTAAGCTTTGTAACTCTTTTGATAGCATCCACTCTGATATGATCCAGCTTTTTCTTTCCAACTCAACAGCTGTTTGATTACCCT